TATAAATAAGTCATTTTTACCAAAATTCTTAATTATAAGATTTTTGTAATTTAAAACATTAATAATTTTGCTATAAAATAATAGGCATATTTAATGGCCAACAAACATTGTGAAGCAAGTTCTAAATCTATGCCACTATTAGATACATATAAAATATTGGGGAATTTTCACAATACATATAAATAAATGAACATTGCAATGAATTAATGTCATTACTGAATGTCTGTAAGAAAGTATGTTACATTAAATTCACATGATTCATATTTAATTTCACCTATTGGATCAGGAACTACATAGACATATTTTTAAAAACCTCATTATGGTAAGAAAAGAGGATTGGGTGATTAAAGGTTCAGTGCACACTGTTCAATCAAATCATCTAAGTATTTATAAATTTCAACTAAAATAATTTCAACCTAGGAGTGTTGTCGATTTTTAGGGAAAAGTTTAGTAATAAATGAAATTAACATTTGAACTATGTATTACTGTGATGTGCTCTGTACAGTCAATAACAAAAGATTCAATTACCTTAAAAATTTTACCATACATGTATATATATGAATGTTTACATGCATGTGTTTGTGTTTATGCACACCTGCAAACACAGTTTCCCATTTCTTCTGAGAAATCCATACCTAAGATCATTTGGGGACACTTTTTTCTGAACACTAAATCAAGGTGTTGGTTTTTCACATTATATTTTTGTATGTAGTCCTAATGTTCTTTATTTTTATAGCTCTGATTGTCAGTTTCACACTGCTTTATAGTGTGAAATTGACAAAAAAATTGTGCAAAACCTACATGTGGTATCATAGAAATTTAGCAAAGAAATTACTATGTAAATTGTCTGAAAAAGGCTGAAAACATACTGAAATAGTGATAGCAATGACTATGTTCCAATTGATCAGCTTTTCAAAGAACCTCAGACTATTCTGAATGTATGGACCTTTATATATGCAAATTTTTTTTTTCCAAAAAATGATAGTAGGATAAGCTAGACAGTTTGACATTACTTTATAACCTTACAGGAAAAGATGCATAGCACTTTCACAATGAAATCTGAGAGCCATCTTTTCTGCTTATCTTACTTTTACATCTTTGTGAGTAAGGTTATCATCATTTCAAACTCTCCATAGCAATCTTCTCAACTTCCTTTACAAGTAGGAAATGCAGTTTAAAAAGGAGTGGTATGTTAGGATCACCTTTGGTATTTCCTTCATTATATATCTTGTCTATTCATTGCCCTAACAAACCAGTAATTATTCCTGGGATATCAGAAATAATAGATTGCTCCATGCCTCCTTTCATTTTTCTTGCTACATGACTTGCATTCTTCCATATCCTTTCTCTGTTTTCTTCTATCCCTCTTGTTATACTTTAGGCATGAATGTAATAGGACAGTTAAAAAAGCCTGGAGTCACATTTCTAACTCTTCAATTGCTGTGTGACTTAGGGGCAGTTACTCTCTGGTGTTGTTTTTTGTTTTTGTTTTTTGTTTGTTTGTTTGTTGTTGTTGTTCAATAGATATGTGGGTGTCAGTAAAAAAGTTTTTAAACATTAAATACAATTATACATTTATAAAGCACTTTAACATACAGGTTGATACATGGTAAGTTGTAATGGTGGTGGTTTAGTGTTTGTATGAAGTACCTAGTCACTCTAATGAACCTAATCAAGACTTTCTACATTATTTCAAGATGACAAAATCCAATTTCAATAACACAAAAATCACCAGAAAACTATGGGTTATTTTTGTTTGCTTAATATATGACTCAGGAGGAGAAGGAGAAATAGCAGGGTACAATATTATTAAAAATACTGCCCTTGTGCTTTACAACATAGACACTGTCTTACAAAACGTGCACAGCATGTCTATAAGTTTATAAAGCAAATATAATTTTCCTTATTTTTATGATGAAGAATAAATCACAGAGGTTTTAAATAAGTAGTCCAACTGGACACTGAGTGTATGTTAAGCCAGTTAACACAGAACAGCCATCTTGAAATATTATTCCTGTGGTCCAAGTAGAGTTCTGTGTGTCTTTTGTGGAACATTAAGTCTACAGTGCTCAGTTCAAATGATATAAACAAATATTCAACATTAAGAATAGATCAGAGCTTCCTTGAGAGATCATTTGGGTGAAACAGATGATACTTTATCAGATAATGTTTCAATTTCTGTGACTTTATTTTTTTTTAGTTCAAAGTGTGTGTGTGTGTGTGTGTGTGTGTAAATAGACTCAAACTTGAACTGTTCTATTTAAAATCTCTATCACTTATATCTTTCCAAAAAGCTATTTCTAAAAAAATGGACTTTGTTGTGTACAGAATTTTCAAAGGGAATGGTATTATCTAAGCAATGTTAGGATATTACAGCATAAACTACCTTATAAAATGGAACATTTGGAAAAAGTTCTATACAATGGAGAAAATAATATCTGAAAAGCATATGATAGAGTCAGTTTAAAATGACTACTTAGAGTCTTTTAAGGATTAACCATGAGAAACACCAATAATGCTCCACATCCCAAAACACATATCATCTACTTAAGCAAACTATAATCATACAGTCTTTCTGTTTAGATATGTTTTTACTTTTATAAGCTTAGAATTACATACAAAACAAGGATAAACTGGGAATCATATGATTTAAAATATACCCAATGAGCATGACCAAATAAAAGCTGATTTAAATAATCACCATGGAAAAACATCATGTCACACCTAAATTCTACGTATTTAAGCCATATGGAGCACATCAAAGCTACCATAAAGTGACTGAAAAGATTTATTTTTGACATTGGGGAAATCTTACTTGGGAGCAGATGCCCAGACTAGCTTGGAGGCAGTAGGTTTTCATTGGGTGACTAATCACATCACTGGGGCATCTTTGTGAAGTCTATAAAAAAGATATTTAGTAGTAAAATGCATGAATATTGATGATAACAAACAATATGGGCACTTCAAAATATCTCTGAAGAGCAACGCTATAAATGCCCTGATCTTAAATCAGATGCAACTCATTCCCATTCACAGAGAACAACTGCCCTTTCATCAGGTTTGACTCTTTCAGACAAAAATCAATGAGAAATTTGCCTGAATAAAATGTACATGATTAAACTGTTGGAGCAGAGTTAACTCAATAATAATCTCTCATTTAATCCTTCATATTCTTAGAGTCACTAATTCTGGAGAAAATAAAAATCATTACAAATTCTCTTCTGTCTCTCCTCTCCTCTTCTCTCTCCCCCCACCTCTCTCTCTTTAACTATGAATGCAGTCAACCTTGAAGAATCTTTGAGTGAAGAAGTACTTTACAAAATGAACTCATACAAAAAGTAACCTAGAATTTTCCTAGAATTTTCTGGCTTAAATTGTTCTTAATGGTAGTACCAAAAAAAAAAAAAAAAAGTAATCAAAATCATTCATTTTGAAGAAACAGACTCTAAAGTCAAGAAAATACAGTGGTTTATTCAAGGTCTCAGAGTCAGTGAGTGGCAACTTCAAACTGAGAACCTAGAAAACCCAACTCTCATCTGATATTCTTTATACCATACCAAGGACTTCTTTTTAGATGGAAGACACCTATCAGTATAAAAGATATGCCTTTGTGGATTCAAGGTCCTGAAAGTTTATCCTTTAGTCAGCTTTTTGTCACTGTGATCAAAAGACTGAAAATAACAATTTTAGGGGAAAAGTTTATTTGGTGCTCACGGTTTCAGAGGTCTCAGTCCATAGACAGCCAACTTCATAGCTCTGAGTCTAAGGTGAGGCAGAACATCATGGCGGAAGAGTGTGGAGGAGGAACGCAGCTCCTCCACATGGACATGGCAATCAGGAAGCAGAAAGAGCTCTGTTCACCAGGGACAAAATATAAATCCCAAAGGCACATCCTCAGTGACCTATTTCTTCTAGCCACACCCTATCTGCCTTCACTTACCGCCCAGTTAATTCATATCAGTGTATTAATGTACTGATTTGGTTAAGGTTCTCATTACCTAATCACATGGTTAACATTTTTTTGGCCCAAAATACAATAGCATTATCATAAATGTAAACATATTTTTTTAAAAAGTTTATTTTTAAATCTACAATTACCTGGACTTGGTATGTTATTCTTTATTGCCAAAGAACTGATATCATCAGGAATCCTTGATACTCACAAGCAAAAAACAGTACTCAATTGCTAGAGAGGACACCCACAAACTCTCACTTGGGAAGGCTTTGGCACAGAATAAAAACACTAAAGCACAAGTAATAGGAATCCATTTAAAAATATTCTTCAATAACCATGTCATTTATACATTTATAATTTTAAAGCCCAGTTAATGACTTCTTGATAAAAGATCAAGTCAGGAAGCTACTTAAAAATGTTACAAACTTGGGTAGCACAAGTGCATTCTAAAGTTTTCTGAAACCCCTCATCCAAAGTAACATCTTTTAAAAGACTCAAATAGTTTATGATTTAGAGCATCAAAGAACAGGTTAAATTCTTACAACATAGGAGAGTGGAAACATGACTTCAAGGAAAATCTATTTTACATAAAATATTTACACTGGAGTCCAAACTGAGTTAAAGAAAACTAATGAAAATATTCTTCTCTACTGAAAAATGGGGGAAATTAACTTTCCTTTTAGCTCAAGTTTCTTGAATATCCCAAAAGGAAATACTTAATTTTCTAGAACATGCTGAAAGAAACAGGTAAAAAGGCAACATGGCTAGAGCTGAATTAATCAAGCAAACATCACTGACAATCAACAGTGCTTTCCTGGTGATTAAACACAATTTGAGACAGCTGGAGGTGGACCCAAACTAGTTGGAGATTCCAAGGGAACAGAATCTTAGGAGTGCAAAATGCGTCTCAGAAATGGAATTTGCAAATAGATGCAAAGCTCTCAGCATTTTCAAGACTCCAAGGACAAAATCAGAGTAAAACCAAAAGGGTAAATCTTGCATTTTCAAGTTTCAAAATATATTATTTACTAGTACAGCTCCTTACCTGGTCTTGTTCTTGTTTTTCAGGTTGCATAGGCTTACGTGAAATACTCATTTTCTCCAAAATTTCTCAGTGTTCCCAGGACCCTAAGACTAACTACTAGCTTTCAGGAAGGTCAGAGATTGAATACTGGACTGTTCCAAGACTGGGATTGCCATAGGTGTTAATTCTAAATTGTTACATGAAAAAATATCTGGATTTTTGTTCAATCTAACACTTGAACTGGGAAAATTCTAAGACTGACCACACCCCTACTTAGAGTGCCCACACATTCCAGTATGAGGTAACACCAAGTTTATGTCTGAGTCCTGGCTTAATCATTAATAACTCTTAAAAGTGTCACATTTCAATGACAAATCACATGACCACCACCTTAAAGAAGTTTAAGTGGCTTCTTCCCTTATCCTCCCAGCCCTTTAGAAGACTTTCTTCAGTGTAATACAATGCTAGAAAAAGAGTTACATGTTGACCTCACCGTAATAGGTACATTCCAATGTATTCCTTGGGTTCTTAGGTCTTAACTCCCCTGTCCCTTTTCTTTACTATTTTCTATTACTAGTATAAATTTTGGGTCTTTTTATAAAAATCATGCATTATTCTTCTCTGAAATATTTCCCCTAGTGCTTAGCTAGCTCAGAACCACAGATCTAGCTTAAAATACGAAAACTAAAAGAAAGTCCTTTGAAATCACTAATTAACTAACAAATCAATCATTATAACTAAGTTCATTTGTAAATTGGGCACTGTTTCTATACTGATAAAAGAATTTAGGACAAAATTTATGCTTAATAAAGGTTTATGAATAATCATGTGAAAGAACGATTAGGAAAGGAATTAAGAAGTTAAGTGTGAAGTAACAGAAAAATTATTATGACATAAAAAGAAAGAGAGAGGATGGCCCAAAGAGAGAAGAGCAGCCTAAATCAAAAGTGTAATTAACCACGCTCCAGTTTCCCACAATGACCAGCTCATCCTTAGGCAACAGAACATATAAACTCAGTCTACTGAGACTGTTTTTTTTTTTTCTTTTCATTGCAAAACTGTAATTCAGATTTTATCAAGGAAATAACTAGTTAAAATAGATTAGGTTTTTAGAAATATGTATTTACTTGAAGGCATGATGTTTTTGAAATGATGTGCTTGAAAAACCTGTGATCAGATCTGGGTAACATTCTTCCCATTTTGTTCAAAAAGAGAATATCCAAGACTACCAACTTAGAAAGCTATACTTCTGCATTTATTTTTTTTTTCTCACAATTACTAAGTTTTCAAGCATTGTGCCAGGCTCTCTGACATTCGTAACTTCATTTGACCATTACTCCAACTCCTGAGGTACATTTTACATATGAGAAAACTCAGATGAGAGTTGTTAGGGAACTCTCCCACACAGCTGATAAGAGTTAGTCAGGGTTTGAAACTGGCTGCCAGATGCCAGATCACAAACTCTGCCACTGTGCTTTATCATCTCCTTCTCAACAGTTTATTCAATCAATCATTTCTGATTCTTCTTTCTAAGACCCCAGTTACCTGCCCCACAGAGTACAAACTCCTTTAACCAGTGATTCCCACACGTGGCTTTAGAAAAAAACCAGGGATTCTTAAAAACACCCAGGACAATAATTCTACCTTAATTGATCAGCATATGGTCTGAGGGTGAAACTGAGGGGCTGAGTGAACGTTTATTAGCATGCTCCAGGCTCTGGGTTCAATCTAAAGCACCTCAAAATTAAAAATAAATAACTGATCCCAGAGTGGAACCTGGGAATCAGTACTACTTTAAACTTTCCTATTGAATTGGGGGTGTTAGAATGCTTGCCCAGCACTAGGTTTCATCCCCAGATCCTAAAAAACAAAACAAAACAAAACAAAAACCTTCAACTGATTTTAATGGGAGGCCAGAAATGGGGAGACAATTGCAGAATGGTCCCCTAAACCTGCTGTGACTAGCTTTCCTGCTTTGCCATCACTGTTTCATGATGGTGTGTCTTAGCCTATCTTCTAGACATACCACCAACAGACCAGCATTTGGCACTATTCTTACACAAAGATAGAATGGCCATCAAAGGAAAGAAACTTGTTCTTCTGGATCAGGATCTTGCACAGATGTTCAGTCTTTGTGGCTTCGGGATTATATTCCCTATGCTGATGCTTGGACACCTCTCTGAACCTATGAAGACTGTCCGGCAGGGAAAGTCTTGGCTCTACATGGATTCAAAAACAAAAATTTTACCTTCAATCCTGAGTAGACAACACACAAATGCCAGCTATTATGTGTTGACCATAATAGGGAGAGGGTATATGGCTTGATGAAAACCCAACAGCATCACCTTCAAATGCAAAGAAAAGAATATTTTAAAGAGCAGCAGTCTAGTCAATTTAGACTAATTAGAAGGCAGAAAGAAATTGTCAGCTGATCATAATATTAATCAAACCATTTTACACTTCTGCAAACTGACAGTCAATTGAGATAAGCAAGGATTTTGAGCTTAGAAAACAAAGAGCTAAATTAACATTCAAACTCAGCATTAAACTCCTAGAAAGCAAAAGAACTCATGATAAAATGTCCATCATCTTGCCATGACTTTGTAATACAGTCCCAGAGGGAAGATCACCCAGTGTTATGAAACCCAATGTTATGAAACAGTGTGAAACTGGGTGATCTTCCCTTTGGGAATGTAGGATCTTGGGGGTTTTGCTACATGTAAGATCATCCCTTTGGGTTAATAAGATTTGTAGATATTTTGTGTAAAAAAAATCCCTCAGTATTATGAAACAGTGTTTTCTGTTTGACAAAGAACTAAATGTATGAGGTTAAAAAGCAAACTCATTGTGACAATGGTAAGCTCATACATGCTGTCATATTTGCAGATTTAAGGACTGCCTAAATAGTATTTTAATATGGTTTCAGTCTTTCTTCCTTTGGTTTTATATGGTGTAATTTATACTGAAGTACTTCTAAAGTTTTCATTTCATCATAAAGCTGAGGTTCCCTGAGGCCTGGTGGTTTACATGGGCACTCATGAATAAGGCAGGTGGGCGTATTTGATGGTAAGGACACTGTGCACAATCATGAATCCTTGAGGAGTATCTTTACAACAAACTCTGGAAGGTAAACATGCACCCTTAGGTGAGATACATTGTAGAGAGTCAGGGAACTCCTGCTCAGGACCTGACCAGATACTTTATTTTATTTATTTATTTTTATGTGGTGCCGAGGATGGAACCCAGGGCCTCGCACGTGCTAGGCAAGTACTCTATTGCTGAGCCACAGCCCGAGCCCAGTGCTACACGTTTTTACTAGACAACTTTTGATTATTTCACATTCCTTCCACTTTCCCTCCACTTCTTGCATCTTTCATATTCTTCTTTTATGTGGGTATATTTGTTATTCTCAAAACTATATGTATGCTAAAAATTCAAAAGTACCAAAGGGTATCATAGTTGAACATAAGCCTACTTCAAATAGTACAATGGATATATAGTTTAAAGCAATTCTTCTTTGAACTCAAACCCCTATGAAATAAATCCATACATTCTTTTTCTCTCCTCCCCTTCTCTCTGTTTTTTGTGTGTTCTGATACATATATATAGACATACACAATATATACACACACATATTAAATGTATAAGTTTATCTTTCTTTTACACTAACAACGTATGCTTTGTCCTGTTAAAAAGAGCTTGGTTTTTAAAATGCGCCTAACTTATTTCCTTTTTTCATTTTATAAGCATATTTCAATATGATAAAGAGAAAATAAATTCAATATTTGGGTCAGTAAGAACCACGATTGTGGCAATTATAGCTAATAATTAAAGGTTCTGATTAAAGGTGAATATATATATATATATATATATATATATATATATATATAAATATTCAGAATAACTTTTAAAAGGCTCCATCTTGTTTGATGCTTGTTTGGAGGGGAGTTTATAACACTGTATAAAAAATTTCTTTTAAAATAGCACATTTTTTCTTTATCAATTTTGCAGATATATTTTAGCTCTTGAGTTATCAAATCAAAGTACTACCTTTAGTTTCTTGTCCTTCCTCCTCCCCAACTCATAGAACCATTAATTTCTTAGTATATCAGGATTCATGTTACTCTTAGATTTGTTAGACCATGCTAGAGAAACTTGCCCTTTAGCACGAGATATGTCAAGGATAGTTAATTATGCTATACATGAAGTGCTTTCAGCAGTCAGGCAAAATAAAATGCAATATTAACATTAGCATCATTGACTAGTAGGGCTACTTCTTGAGCTCTGAATGATCAGTCCAGCCTTCTTTAAATACTATCTTCTGATCAACAGCAAAGTATAAAAGTCCATCCCTGCACTAAGGTCATCCATTCCCTTTACAGATTTTGCCTCTATTTCCAAACTTCATCTCATGGTTTATGGTCTCTACTGATAAACCCTTTTTCAAATGTGAATACCCTATCTGCACCAGACTAGGCAGGGGAAGCTGATGTGGTATCTGGCAACTGTTGAGCGGAGTTTGGGGTAAACGAGTCTAGGTTTGACTTACAGCTCTGCTGTCTTCATCAAGAGAGCACTTCAGTCATCTTTTTTTGAGGATGCTGATTTATTATCAATATAATAAGCAAATCTTACTTTCTCTACTTCTTAGGATTATGGTAAGGATCAAATGGAATAGCAGTTGGAAATGGAAGAATAATTAAAACCAGTAGGTTCCACAATCTTCCACTGAGAAACTCCCTCGCTTTCACTCCCACGCCCACTCTTCCAGGGGCCTCCACCCACCCCAAGCCTCACATACTATGCCATCCAACTTGGGTCTCTTGGGCTGCAGCCCCAGGGCTTCCATCAACATTGACCCTTTTTAGGTTTTAGCACTTACTACTTGATTTTAGAAGATAGTTAAAACAGGAGAAAGAATAATTTGCAAATAATAATAATGGGCTGCATTTATCAAGCCCTTACCACATGCCAAACCATAAAGTCATTATTTGGCAGCCCTATAGCTTTTGCTATGATAACTTTTGGTTATATATTCCTTCCATTTCCCCTTAGCTCATCTTGCAAAGACCTCTATATACATTATTTTCACTTATCTTTACAACAGATCCATGCAGCAGGGTCTATTTTTATCTATGCTTTACAGATAAGGAGACTGAGACTTGGAAAGTGCAGTAATTTGCCCCCAATCATGCAGCTTAGTTGTGGTGGAGCTGGACTTTGAATTTCTCAGAAACTGCTCCCATAACCATTCAGTTCCTAGATGCTGAACCCATGTGCTAAACAAGTGGTCACTAATGTATTACCTTTTGAATTTAACACGCTCATATAATTATAGATTGAGGTTGGAAGATCATCTACTTTAACCATCTACCCAACATTTAAATCTCCTTTAATCACATGTCTAAGTCGCAATCTGCCTTTTGTTTCAGTAACACCAATAAGAGATGTCCAGAGAAGGAATCCTATCATTTTCAGATGGTTCTATTGGGAAGTTCTTGATATTAAGCAAAAATCTTTCTTCATGAAAAACAGCAACAACAACAAAATGCTGATCTTAATTTTACCTGAGAGTATTATTGAAAAACTATAATTTACATGTTACATATAATAAAACTCCTTAGTAATCACTTCTTGAAAAAAATGCTTTACCTTGGCCATGCTGGTTACTCTCAAATGAAAGCACTTTTAAGGCCCTCTGCATTTTGCCCAAACTCCAGGCATGCTCTGCCCAGCTGACCAAATAGCAGGACCCCACCCTTCATTATTACAGATGAATATTACTCCTATGAATACCATCTAAGAGATCCTTTAAAGTCCTTCAAACCAGCAATTTAACTGACTCATCAGTGCCTTTCCAATTTAAAAAGAAAAAAAATTGGAAGATATTCAGTGATTGAAATTGGGATCATGAATTCACATTGGTATTCTGCCATAACAAACATACCACACAGCCAAATTTGACTGAAGTAAGTAGGAGGACATTGGAGATGGCATGGGGACTGGAGGAGAGGATTTAAGGTAAAGAGAGATTAGCATCTTTTCTCAAGGAGTATAGTTCAGATACCAGAAAGCACCACTAATATCATTTTAAACAATAAAACAAGTAATGCACAATACAGGAATATTTTGACTAGGCAAAAGTAAAAAAAACAGATTGATGAAAGGAGGCAGAAAATGCATTGGGGGATCCAGAGTAATTACAAAGGGGTGCATACTGTTAAAAGATATGAAAAATGGAAATAATTAATAATTTGTCCTCTACACAATAGATATTGAAAAATTCACTAGATTACGGAGGTGGGGGATTAATTCAAAGAAGATATGGTCTACCACACAGCCTTTATTGGGATGGTAGGGACCATCTGTTTCCAAAATTTAAGTTAATATTACCCACATTCAAATGACCAGTTTGGGCTAGAAACAGGTTTCCTAGTATGACATGTTACATGAGTGACAGAAACCTGAGGTAGCCTTAAAAGGGTCAAAAAGGTTAGGTTGCAAGGCTGGGGTTATAGCTCAGCAGTAGAGCACTTGCATTGCAGCTGTGAGGCACTGGGTTCAATCCTGAGCACCACATAAAAAGAAATAAAATAAATAAAGACATTGTGCCCATCTGAAAAAAATATTTTAAAAAAACTACATTGAAGAAATTACTCCAAGCATCTTAACTATATTATTCACTAATTACTTGCAAGGAATCAACATAGCATCTTATTGCAGTATGTATGTGGCTCATTTCTACTTTTTTCCCCCTCATTTTGAGAATCAGGTTATATACTTATGTACAGTCACTCTTATCAGGGATATTTACAAAAAATGAGGGCATGAGGAAAGAGGAGAGAAAGAAAGGCAGTGGAGAAACATGAGTGAGCCAAGAGTACTTCCCAGTGCAGCCTTGGGTGAGATGAGAGAACCAGCCTCTTCATTCTCTGCAGAGAGGTTGCACAATGTTAATATTCCAAGCCAGGATAGAATACTCTGCTGTGTTCTGGTGAGGTTAAAATTGAGGCAGCTCAGAGCTAGGAACAGGGTTCTGGTAAACAACTTTAGCATGTATACAAAGTTGTGTCAACAATTTAATAAAAACCCACCTATAAATATTTTTTGTTGTGTGAGGCACATAGTAGGCACATAAAAATTATCTTTATTTTATTCTGCTTTACTAATGAGTTGAACAATTAAAGGACTGCACACTTTTTTATGTCAAGTCTGCAAGTTTCTTTGCCTTCTCTCAGAAACCTATGGGGTGGCGAGTCAAAAACTGAGTCAAAAGCCAGAAAGTCGATGGACATTTAAATAAACACCAGATAGAGGGGCAGGGGAGTGGGCACTAGGAGAAAAACCTCTCATTATGCATCCGAACTGCAAGAAGACAAAATTAACTTTCAAACCTGCTTAGGGAAGAAAGTCCTGAAAATGTTCTAGCTGATAAAGGGTAACAATTAGAAATTAATTGTACAGTATTTTTTT